TTAAACGAAATTTATCTAGATTCTAGAACCTAAGTCCTAGATTGCTAATATAGAATTACACGGAGCAACTATAAACTTCAATAAACCAAGTGATCGTTAAAAGTTTAAAATAAATCTGTAGTCAACCAGTTGAGTGTGGTAGGTCATTTAACTAGACTTGCGTAAGTTATAATTGAGTTATAGTTAAGTTATATTTAAGTAGGTATACGTTACCTGTATCGTTGTATCGTTAATGTAATTAAGTTTATGTATAAAGCTTGCCTCATTGCTTAATTACAACTACCGGTACTTAGAAATAAGTGACAGTTACAAAAGGTTACTTATAAGAACGTATTACAGCCAAAAAGGTTTTCAACGAAAACTTAAAATCGGGGTTTTCATTCATGCGTTTCGTTTTCTCTGTAAAACAGTACGTAGAGCTATTTTTACTATTGCTACTATATGACACACTGCTACTATACTATATGACAATATAAAACCAGTCACAAATCCAGACTCCGTATTAATGAAGGTTTTCGAAAGCGATAATCTTATTAACACTTTATAGCCAATAATAATTTTATGAAAGTTATATCGAAATAATTCAAAATTAACTACTTGTACGAAGGTGTATATTGCACGGGGTACAGGTAGATAAATCTAAGACAGTATATATTGTTGCACGTGCCGGCTCGCTAGGGGTCACTATAGTACGATAAGCGAAGTTATTCTTGGAAGGACCAAGGTTCGATCCGGTGGGGTCCGAGCGTGCTACGAGTGCGTTGATGTCTTTTGTAAGAACGCTTCATGTCTTCACGATTTACTCTTATTCTTAAAGTAGCAGAAGTATTTATTAATAAAAGCTATGCTAATAGTATTTTATATTCAGTTTCTTATATTAAATTATTATTTTTCGCGTTGTTTGTCGCGATTTCTTATTTTTAGTTATATAGGTAGGACTAACCTAGCCTCAGATTTTTGATACTGATATCAGATTAAATACACACTTGAATCCTGGTGATAAGAGATAGGTATTTAATTACAGTGAAATTTTCAATAAGTTCAAAATCAATACCACCCATCTACGAGTAACAGTTAAAGGCTCATGCTTGCAACTTATAGGACCCTTATCAGTCTAGGTTATTATTATTATTATTTATTTTCAGCCATGATCGTCCCACTGCAGGGCAAAGGCCTCCCTACCCTCCTTCCACTCCTCTCTATGTAAAGCTTTTTGCGGTCTCCTCTAGGTTATTTAGGTACTCGCAAAGTTGTAAATATTTAAATTTTGTCGTTTTGTCCGTCAGTCGTAACGGGCAGCAGTTAACATAATAGCCGGTACATATGTACATAGAAATACATAAGATGACTATCATGCACGGTGACAGGTTACGTACCGTTAATTTTTTTATGGTACTTTTTATGACAGTGTTGTATAGTCATTTTGACATTTCGTCAGTGTTGTCAGAGTGGTCGTCGCTAATGATTTCGATACTTTAAAACAATGATAAAGTCAGAATATTGGTTTAAAATTGGATTTAGTGGGTGGACACGTAAAGATATATTTTTATGATGTTAAAGATGAACTTGGAATGTTATATTCAGTTAAATAGTTACTCGCCTGAATTCTTGAAATCAATTTAAACTGTCAAACACCAAGCGGTCACCGGTGACCGCAACCTATTGTTCTATAATTGTGTCTACAAAACCGGTACTCGACGAGTTAAACTCTTGTGTTGAAGTAATTGAAGAATGATGATATTTTTACAAGTAATAGCAATTTTTAAAAGTTTTTACAATTTTATTATAACTGTATGCTAAAATATACATATACATATATGCTAAAATATTTAATGAACACTTGAGCTTCATTTTATTGTGCTTAAAAGTTACAACTACTTCGTTTATTTGCTAACAAACTTTACGACTTACAACGGTTGTTTGAACACTATCATGAATTAAAGAACTAAAAGAGTAGCTGAAACGACCCTTTGAACATGCACATTACAGCCAAATATAATTTGGCTATTTAGGACTTACTTATTGCCATTAAGGAAATAAGTAAAATTATATGTGACACTGAACAAACTCAGAATTATATAATTTATAGCATTTATCCTGTTTGATACAAACTGTTTAACAATTCGAATGCAATTTTCGTAATATTTGAACTATGTATCTACATTGTACCTACATTGTTATGTGCAGTGTGCATATTTGTACAATCATTTATAAGTTGCACGGCTAGACGTTAGACAAATAGAAACAGATTAACATATACCAATACATAAGTGTGTCGTGTAGGTAAAAGTTAATTGCATGCAATCAACGTCTACACTGCAACACGGTCCAGTACTATAGTCGAAGAAATTAAAGAAATTGTAGAACAATAATCAATACATAGTCACTTTCCGTCGTCTGTGTGTCCGTCTGTATGCTCAGAATTTTGAAACTACGAAACAGATTTTGATGCGGTTTTTATAATAGATAGTGATTCAAGAGGATTGTTTATATGGTAAACTTAATGCTTGCAAAGCCTCGGCCCTGGGGAAAGGTAGTAATTTTTAAAACCAACGATAGGAATTGATGTAAGTAAAACAAACAGTGCAGATGAACATGCTTAATATTACACAAGTTTTGTAACAGATGAAAGAGCTCGTTAAGGCACTATCGAACATTCACTAACAGAAAATAGAAATGAACATGACGATGATAATTTCGGGATTACAAAAGCATTAGAAAGGACAGGTGTGCACGGTGCATCGGTGCACGACATAGCGAAACAGATACAGTTTGTTGCGTCACCCGACACACCGGAGAAAGGTGTCAACGATCATGACTATATAGTTCAAACTACTGCATTCCATAATCGTACAAGCGATAATGAATTGGTTAAACTTGAAGATGAAAAATTTGGATCCTTTTAACATGTCGTACGTGTGTTTATTATTATATTAGAATAGGATGTGGAACATGTTGAAGTAAGATGTGATGTTACTGAAGATTTTGTGTGAAGTTTGGTGGGAATTTCGATTTTGTTTGCTAAGCTATTTTTGTTGGAGCAATGATTGAAAATATGCATAGTTATAGATAAAAATTATTAAAAAAATAATCTTCAGGTGACATGTGTAACTACGTTCTTGTATGTTTCACTATTTTTCATTTTTATGAAGCAATATAAGGTGTTCAAGGAATATAATGAAATAATCATTTTCATCCACTATTTCATTAGTAGCACACGTGGTTTTGACATTCTCTACTAGCACATCTCTAAGCATATTTGTGGATTTAATATTTAAGAAAACTAAACATCCACTTTCGTTTTTAATATTTGCTTTAGTTCAGTGTGTTCAGGTGAGATCAGTTCGCAAGTATCTCTGTATATCCCAGCATTGATATCGGAATGATATTTACTTTTTGCACGTAACAGATAATGTGATAAGAATGACACAATTTTATCAATGACAACAAAATATTTGAGATTAATTCTCTGTTCTTGATTGCAACGTAGTATGTAACGCTCTTTACATATTTACTTTGGTTCTGAGGCTGTTTGCTGTTGGATTTGAGTTGCGGCTTTCAAAAGATTTTGAATTGAGTACAGCGCTCATTCAAGTAGCCCAATTAGTAATTAGTAGTAGCATGGGCAAAGCCTTTATTAGATTTTAGCACTCATTAGTTTGGAGGGAAATTTTAATGTTGTTTGTTTTAATGCTATAATGACTTCCAGATCCTATATTTGATTGCAAAATTTAATATCTAGTACGATTACTCAGCAGCTGAACGTAAAAGTCCGATAGCATTTACGTAAGAGATTAAATTAAGCCTTCTTCTTCAATGTTGACAGATCACAGAAATATGTAGATAGTGTATGTACAGGAGGCTTACAATTATACTTAAGTATTCTTTTAGGAACTAAAAGAGTTCCTTAATAGTTTACATAGTGAAAATAAGTTAGAGGCTGTGTTTATCATCAAGCTCTGTGCTTCAGAAGTTTTATCTCCAATGTTCAGAAATACTGTAAACACTCCTTCAGCACTCATTACTTAATATTAATGCAAACATTATCAAAAAAGAGGTAATTCCACATATTGCGACTTTACAATACTTAGCAACTATGAATGTCCACTTGGAACCACGTCACGTCCAATAATTTTGTTTGCAAACAACTTACAAATTGATACAAAAACTGATAGCTTACTTGGAACTAAGTTAATATCACTTGAACCAATCCAGCATCCGATTACACACCGGTTCCGACTGGACACCCACAGGAGACAAAACGGAAATAAATTGCAGAAAAAATATTTTTTTCTTTTTACTCACTTTTAAAATTCTGAAATGCGAACAACACAACACTGATCGTAAGCGAGCGTAAATTTTATTGGGCGAACGAATGTAGCGCGTCCCGTTTGACACCGGCGTGCGTTCTGCCTCACGTACGATTCTCGTTTGGTCTTTCCGCTTCACGCTTGACGTTTTTATGGATCAGTCAACGCTGTGATTGGTCGAGACGACGAGCCCGTCGCTACGTCATACGAAAGCCTTAGGGCTCACCGGCTCACGCAACCGATAGATTTTTACTACAGTTTGGCAATTTGTATAGAGTTGTAGCACTGTGCGGTTGTTGAATGGGCTCAGTTCCAGAACTTCCCGACTCGCGAATTTAATTTTATTAAAAATTGTTCTCCGATTGTGAATTAACTTAATATCTAAAGTCACTAAATCAAATACTAATACTAATCAAAAACAAATTGCAAAAGTTAATTTATGCAAGATTTGACAGTGCCACATTTATTCCATAGTCTTTACCGAGCAACTCATGAAAAACCAATTACTCATATCACAATACCATTAAATAAAACCCAACATCCCGTAAACGAAATAAAAAGCGAAATCACAATTAATTAAATAAAGAATTGATGGGCAGAAACAATACGACTCACAAAATCTAAACCGAAATTGAAAAGAGGTTGCAAACGTCAAGAAAAAAATAAACGAAACAATTTAAAACGACTTACCCAAGTGTTATAAGAAAACGTTTATAAAATCCACTCGGTACAGTAGCACGGTGTTGCACTATACGTCTCTCCGAAGCTCAGAATGCTAAGCGACTAACCGACGCGACTGTCTCACTGAAATACTCGAGTACATCACTCCCATTGTTTTGTCTCGCCACACAACTACACACATATGTTCGACATACGTGTGTGCACTGTACACACTGATTACCTATATTAATATTCCATATATTACTTTAAATTAAATTAAATTAAATATTTTTTAAGATAACTTCTTTTTTTCCTTATAGACGTGTGTGCGCGATGGTCAAGCGCAGCTTAATTGTGATTCGCCGTTAACTGTCTTGCTATCTCTGTCGTTTTAAAGTGTATGGAGTCGACAGATAGAATTCTGATACTTCAAGTTTCAGTGTTCGGGTTAAGAATAAAATTTTCTTATGGTTTAATTGGATAAGCCTATTTAATTCAGCCAATGTAGTGAATTCTTGTCAAGTATTAGATAATCAGGAGCTCTAAATAATTCCTTCAAGTTAAAAAAAAATCCTCTGTACGCTACAGGTCAAATAGGATAAAAATGGTAGGTTAGTATAAATAAGATGTATACGTTTGTATAATTGTATTTGTTTGTATAATAAACTAAGGAAGGCAGGGGAATTTCCTTGTAACTAAAACCGCGAACAAAAACTAATTGTTTCATAATTAAGTGAGATGATGCACTAACGTCTGCATTCCCGACCAATAAATTGAAAGTACCCACTGTGACGTCAGCCACCAACGTTTACCCCAACGTTGGCGGCAAATGTTGGAACTAAGTCGCCAGTTAACCCATCCCGTCGAACTACAAGCGCCAAGAAGACAGAATTTACCAGATAATCATATTTCAGTTTTGAAATATTTACAATCTGTTGGCGTATTAAATTAACCTAATTCTGTTTTATCTTAAACCTTCATGACGCTTTTAATCTCTTGTTGAATTATATGATTACCATACCTAACCCTGAACAAGACTGTAAAGAAAACATGATGGTCTTTGCCCGCCGCTTGAATATAGGCGGGTGTGCACATGTTATCAAAGAGTATGATTAGATGCATTGACACACAGAGATTAGGTATATGTGAGAATTTTCTCGGAAACGATAACACAGCCTTCGACGTGTCACATCATAATCTCCTTTGTACTGTCATGCACTGTGGCACAGTGTCAAAGTAATTTTGTATTTATGCTAGCCACTATCTTGTGTTTTTTTCCACGTTGATAGGAAAATCAGCCCACTGTTTATGGCGAGTCATATGGGAGTGTTGGAAAAATCACTTCTGATTATTTCTTTATCAAGTTGTCCGTTCTTGACCTCGTTTTTTTTCAGTTAGGAACTGAAAGATGGCGCCTATTATGGAATGTTGTTGTATACAGGTTACAGGGACAGACTGATCTTACAGATAACGTAGTTTAACAAAACATAATATTTTTATTTAGGTGTATGTTTTCCCCGTATTGTTTGATATTTTCACTGATTACTTTTTTACTACCATGTCTTTAGATGTTGTTGCTTCTGAAAATTATTACGAAATTTAATTATTTTTTGTGATAATAAAGTTTGATTTATTTAGGTAATCTGCTGTATTTATTTTCTTGGTTATTATAAATTATTAAGTTTACGGGTTACTCACGTAAATATTTGACCAGGAACTCGACTAGTTTCAAGCCATGCTAGAGGCTCATATTCATGAGCAGCATTTCGCGACCTGCGACGCGGCGTCACACTGCTATTGCATGGCTTGAAACTAGTCGAGTTCCTCGTCAAATAATTACGTGAGTAAGCCGAAAACATAATAATTCTTGGTTATTCTATAATAATATTCTATTATAATATATATATAAGAAATATGAAAATCATCATACAATTCAGTTGGTATCGGTCGTGGAAAGTATTATTTGCTATCAGTCAAATGGAAAACGATTACTTTGAATTTCCAGATGAAGATGCAGATAAATACAGATAAAATAATGGACAGACATATTAAGTGTATCTTTCTGATATTGCCTTCTGGCGCCAAAGCTGACGTCAATGAAGATTTGTTCTGTGGTTTTGAATTAAGAGACCAAAAAACAAATTTTTTAAAATTTATAATTACCTACACTGTAACCAACTGTTCTGAAACAGAATTTATAAAAGCATAAATGTTTATTATGGTAGTTTAAAACTAGTCAATTCTTTAATATATTTTAAGATGTAAAGAAGCATAATTTAAGGTAAGAAGATAACACAATTTTGCTATGAATTTCATACGAAATTGTGCGCTATGACATCATATTTTAACGACTAATTTTTGTAAAAAAAGCTATCACAAAAATTGAACATCAATTTAAAAAAGTGTGAAAATTATTAAATATTAGCTTCTGCCCGCGACTTCGTACGCGCAATCCCGTTTTTTCCGTTCCCGTTCGTGATTTATCGGTAATAAGTAACAAAGTATTGGATAAAAAGTATCCTATGTCCGTCTCCTGGTTCTAAGCTATCTCCCCGCCAATTTACATACAAATCGATTTATCCGTTCTTTGAGTACTAGATAGTGTAACTAACACGACTTTCTTTTATATATTAATATAGATATAGATATAGATTTTGTTGTATTGAATATTGGAAGCAAATTATTTTTAACCGAGGAAAGTACGAATTGATGCATCCTTCGAATGTCACGTTTTTTTATTTGTATTGCACAAAAAGTAGTTAATTATTGCACATCAATTTCATGAGTCGTGGTGGCCCGGAGGTTTAAGACGCCCACTTCTCATGCATGAGGGTGCGGGTTCGAAACCTACCAACGGAAAGTACCAATGGGACTTTTTCCGAGTTCTATGTACTTTCTAAGATTATTTAGACACCACTGACAAACGGTGAAGGAAAAACATCGTGAGGAAACCTGGACTTATAATTTCTAATTATAAGTTTGAAATCGCCAACCCGCATTGAGCAAGCGTGGTGATTAACGCTCTAACCTTCTCCGTGTGAGAAGAGGCTTTGCTCAGCAGTGGGCATTTATAGGCTGTTGATGATTGATGATGAATTTCATGATGCTTTTGACGTCAAAGCTTTGGATAAACCTGATTTTAAAAAGGGAAAAAATTAGATATTTCCTCAATATGATGTGTTTTATTTACTTTTATACCTTATGTACATATAATATGTAGTATGTGTGTATAACAGTAACTACTTGCTTTCCTAATTATAACATAATATAACTTCGCGCCTTTTACACCCAACTGGGTAGGCCGAGGTTCACATTACGGCACTTAATGCCACAGTACAATGTAACACCCACTTTTCACTATTCATGGCATGATGAGTCCCATGTAATAGGGGGAGAGCCTATTGCCATATATGAGATTTTTTTTAAAACCCAGCAATACTTGCCCGACCGAATCGAACCCTTGCGACCACTTCAACAATAAGGTAGTCAGTCTTTCCTAATTGTCGTAGGTAGGTAAGTGCGTGCCAACCTCTTAACACATTAAACGCCGTGGGGGTCACCGGCGACCAACGTCATTGGTGGATTTGCCTTCAACCTTTGCGGGAAATTGACCTTTTTTGTACTCTTGATCTTTATTCCTTTTTTAAGGGGGGAAAATCATAGAATGAATTCTCTCGCCTGGGTGAGGCGGGTGGGAGTGTCAGACTCTTTCTGACTAAAAAACACCCCGTTCTTTCTCCTGCACTTCGAGCCGGAACCCCGCCAACCCTTTAAGTTCTCCATGGCATCTCCTTTAAGGAGCAAAGATAAATCTAAAAAAACATTTTTGAAACATTCTTTATTAATAATAATCTGTGTCTACAACCTATCTATCTATCGGTTTATAATGTTACGGGTGTAGGCTAAAGATAGCCTGAACATGAAAGAACACGAAACGCTCTACAAAAAAATAGTTAAAAAAAGGTACAACAAGAATTAAAGTTATCAAATAAAAAACCCAGATGTATATGGACATGTCATATCATGTCGTGTTAGAATCAACAAACGTCATTTATGAATTTCGTTAGATCACATTTGAAGTGCCTACGTCATATTTGATTCATTCCCACATAACATCACGCCTTTTATCCCCGAAGGACTCAATGTTGTACAAGGTAGCACCCACTCTTCACTATTTATGTTGAGATTCATGTAATAGGGGGTGAACCTATTGCCATATACCGGGTCCAATTCATTAAAAAAAAACAAGCAATGCTTTACCGACTCGGGAACCAAACCCGAGACTTTTGCCCGGCGACCACTCGGCCAACGAGGCAGTCACATTATTATAATTGGTCCATATATGGATATTAATTAATTCCTATGTCATATATGTATGTGACCAATTATACTAATATGTATATTATTATAGTAACCAATTTACTATTGATATGATATTCACGTCATTTTGACGCACCTAGTTATTGGGAAAACCTTTCAGATGAATGGATTATCCTGCAATATTTTAAAGTGGTTAACTATTTAAGGTTGTGTCTTGTAAACCTATTGATAAAAATCAATAACATTTCTATAAGCTTTTAAGTACATTTTGAGGCTCCCTCGTCTTTCTATAACAATAACATATACAGCTTTCTAAGTCCAATTAGGAGAGGTCCCAATTCTTAGCCATTATTTATTGTTAACTACTACGGATTGGGTACTTAATTCCCTCAGTTATAAGTTGCAATCTCATACCAAATAAATAGGAGAGTATCATTGCTGACGTTTCGATAAAAGTATTGAATTAGAATAGTCAGTCAACTACCGCATTAATAGGGTCTACACAATTTAACTTTTGCTAAAACATAACATCACGCCTTCCATCCCCGAAGGGGTAGGCAGAGGTGCACATTATGCCACTATACATTCACCGGCTTTTCACTATTTATGTTACGAGTCCCATGTAATAGTGGGTGAGCCTATTGCCATATACTGGGCACAATTCCAGACTCCGTGCTATTACAGAGATTTTTTTTTAAAACCCAGTAATAGATACTTTGTTCGGCCAACGAGGCAGTCACTTTTACTAACCTTTTCTTGAAATAAACCAAATATTAATTGAGTTAAAGTGAACAACACACTACAACAATATTACGGAATAGGAACACCACGGCCAAAATATTTATGTTTAG